AACAAGCTCTTCTCAATTCCAAAATAGTCTAGATGTTGCCAAACCTATATTTCACAAGCCCCACTAGTGAGAATCCACTACTGTACCATGCAGAAGTTACTGAGCAAACATTCACGCATCTGAACTGTACAAACAACAAAATATTTTAACTTCTACAGAATCTCTATAAAGAAGATTAACAGAATGTAAAGCCCAGAAGAAGCCTCTAATACAACATGATATGAGCTGGAAAATTAATCTAGAGACCTTCAAGTCTTTTCTATCCTAAATGATCTTGTTCTATGTAGTTTTTACCTTGATTATTTTCCTTATGTAATTGTTATGTATCAAATGAACCTACATGCCTCTCTGCTAACTATCATAAAACAAAAGAAACAGGACTAGAGAAGTCAAAATCTTCTCTTCAATTAAGACATTTTGAAGAATTTGGGAAGAACTGAGATATGTTGTCACCTTAAAAAAATTCAGATGCATAACCTTTACAATACTAACTGAAATTATCACAACTGATATATTAATGAAATTATGATGTATTAAACAAGAATTTATTAATTTCACAGTGACTGCAAAGTATCCTAGCTGTTTGGTTTTTTGTTGTTGTTTTGGTTTGGTTTGGTTTTTTGGTTTTGTTTTTTTTTTTTTTTAAATCAAGTGTGTTTTAAAAAAAGCTTCTCTGTCTTGGAAGGTTTGGAGTAACCCCTACATTTAAGGGTCACAAAGCACCAGACATGCAGAAGTGAGAAAGTAAAAATTGGCATATGTTTTTAATCAAAATGAAAGAGCCTCAAAAGTCCTGAGGCAAAAGGAGTCTCGTCATTTGTTTTTTTTGTGCTTGGAACGAACAAAATCAAAAAGCTTTCAAGCATAATTTGACATAATTTCAAAAAAAAAAAAAAAAAAGAGTAGTTCTTTCAGAATCATTTATAAAAACCTCACTAAGAATTGAATGCATATAGGATTTATCAGTTATGTACAGTTTTCTTTTAGGAACTCTGACGTTATAGTTCCAAAAGAGCATCCAGAGGTGAGATGACAAGTGAAAGCAAGAAGAGTGCAAAGTTTCTAGAGCAAAAGACTTAAAAAAAGGTTCTACATAGTTCTGAAGGACAGAATGTTGGTATTTTTCCAGAGAGCTATAGGCAAGTTTCTCTGGCCATCAGGTTTTCCTGAAAACTAGCCTGCATGGTTATGCAACACATGCGAGGACTGGTAATTTGTACTATTTAATGTACCAACAGTAGAGTCATGACAGCACTGACTAGTGTTCAGCTAAACTTTTCGTACTATTTTGATCAAATCCAGATATCAAATGAATTAATTTCTGTGCAACAAACTTATTTTTGCCCATAAAACTGAAATAGGACAGATAGGGAACGCATAGCATGCTCTACAAATTGCAAATTACGTCTTTGAAGACTGGAGTTAAGACATATCAAGTTTCATTTCAGTTGTTATTTCCCTGTCTTTTCCCACAAGAACTGGGGAAAAGTTAGCCCAGTTTCTCTGGGAGGTAAAAGAAAAAAGGGAAAAAAATACTAGTATTAGGAGGTTGCAATCCCTTATAGGACAGATTAGTCTAAACAGGGGAGATGCTTCAAAACTTAAGCCAAGGACAAAATTGTTGTCTGGACAGCTAGTGAGGACACGAAACTCTGCATACTGCTTTAACCTATCTCAAATACAAAAGACTCACAGACTGTAGCGCAGGCACCTTCAAATAAAAGTTACCAGTCATAGGCTGTCAGATGATCGCTATTAACGGATCCTTATGATCTCAAGAGGTACTAAGAGAATAGTTAATGCTGTAGAAAGCTGGTTAGTATGGTTCAAATGAACTTCTACTGTAAATGATTACTAACAGTGATTTATCTTCTGAAGATTGGTTCCAGAGGAATGCACCCAGGTATGCATTGAGGAAGAACTCCTACTCTGAATACTTAGAAAGAGTTAGGAGAATTTACTTCCTCCAATGCATCTGTCTAATCCTATTAAGCTGATCACTAAAAAACAAGACTCAAAGATTTTTCACCCCTTTCATCAGAGGATTCTTTATTCTACAGCAAAATAAAGAAGCTTGACAGATGCAACTAAAACTAGAAGAGGCAAAATGAAATACAAAGCACTTGCTGCAGAACGAAAAACACCTTTGTCTAATCACATGATTGACAAGATAAAGATGGAGGAAGCCCATGAACCTTCCTGGTGAACCAGATGAGCAGAAAAAGAACCCCATTTATTAGAAAAATACCAAAATGTCATTCTGACACACAGAAAGAAAAGCTAATATGTAGTCAGTTTAGATGTGTTCTTTTCATGCAGTGTACCTAACACAAACATTAGATTCAGCTGCTATGTTTTCACATATGTTTACTCAGCAAGAAAAGGTTACCTGAATTATTTAGCCAATGCAAAGGAAGACTCAAAGTCTTTTATAAAAAGCAATTGTATGGGACAGACAATATTTCAAAAATAGGTGGATTTCAATTACAGCATTTTGCCAGTATAGCCAGAATACTACAGCGTTTATGAGGGGAACTTGAGATGAGGAATAAATTCTCAATCTAACTGTAACAACTGTAAGCTGTTTTGCCCTCACTTGAGGCTTAAAAAAAAAAAGCTGTATAATTTTTGCTCTAAAAACTGCTGTATCTAATATACGTTTGTAGGAGAAAGCATGCAAGTCACTAGAAGGTTTTAGAATTAGCTTTTATAAGCAAGCCACACAGCAGTCTCAGCATCTCGTTGAGCAGCAAAATACAGACGTAAGTAATGCTGATGTTACAAAGCCTGGGATCCTAAAAAAAAAAACACCCAAAAAACCCCACCAACTGTCATGCCACCCACAAACAGGGTCAACAGTTATTCTTCAATGCCTAACCTATCCCTCAAGACATCCCAGTGCATCTTTTGTTTTGCATGTCTTTAGACTTTGCTCCCATAAGCAAGAACTGTCTTCGCTGCATACCTTGCACAGCACGGAGCACGCTGTCAGTGCTTAAATACAGAAAAACAACACACTGGCATTTTCTTATCGAAAGTTGCAGGATACAAACCTCCAGGAAGATATGATTCACTTGCTGTGTCATCCCCATCATCTCCATCTTCATCATCACGACTCAACAAATTATTTACAGCAAGGTTTACATCAAGATTTGTTCGCTGGAGTTCCCGAATAATAATACTTCTGGACTTTCCTTGTAAAACAACTTGTGCCTGTAAGAGCAGAGTATAATTGGTTACTAGTCATTCTCAGCTCACCAACCACCATTCAGAAGAAAATAATGTTTACTTCTAAAAGAAGTCTAATAAAAAACAAAAGTCAATCACAGTACATACAAAGGCTCACATAGATTTGTCACAGTATCTTGTACTAGATAGTCAACCTTCTCTCAGTTCAAGTTAGGCCACTGTATTCCACCTTTGGTGCTGAATTTCCTAATGGAATCTTAGAATGTACTTCTTGAAATGCTTAATGCTGTAGTTAATGGATAAGCAAAATCTGGTTTTGAGGATGTTCTATACCTTTCCATAAAAGTGTTTAAACTTACTATGTCAATCAACAGAGTTTTGCAATCAACTGCTCTTCCAAAACTACACCTCAATCCCTGTCTTTTTGACACTGGTTTCTCTTTCCACTGCCCTTCAATATGTAACCTCCTTACTTCCTGTGTTTTTCTCACCATTCCATTTCTAAAGGCTTATCTTTAATGTTTAGATTTTTATTAGCAAAGTGCAAATGCAGAAAAAACCTTCCAAATGTTAAACAGATGCAATGAATTTATAAAAAACAGAAGCATTCTAGTCTATTCCACTAACCCTAGGACTCAGAGTATTTTCTTTTTCCAGACAGACTGCTTTACAGTTACCCCAAACATGGTTTAGACACCTTCTGTTTTAAAGGTAGACAAAGTATGCTTTTTTTTTTTTTTTAAAAAAAGCGACAGCTCACAGCAAGGGAAGCAAAGTTATGACCTAACCAACAAACCATACATTAGATTATATAATGGAACTGTCTGGACCATGATGTATTAGTCTGTTTTTCTGTTTTATGTAGGTTATCAAGGATGTCAGTAACCACTCTCAAAAAAATGTGGAGGTGAACAATGAAGTCAAAAAAACCCCACCACCCCCACAGCTGAAAGAGACCACTGGAGGTCACCTAACGAAACCACCTCCTGAAAGCAGGGCTAACTTCAGAGTAATCAACACCTCCAGTATCTTGTCTCTGCGAAGGCAGAAGCTCCCCAGCTTTTACTGGCTTTTCAATTCAAACAGAGAAAGGAACTAGAACCCCGTCGGTTGCTGGTGGGTCTGTAGATACTTTGCCCACTAGCTCCTATCTCGTGCCAGTCATGCTATAGGCCATTCACAGCATGCATGTAGATTGTCTTTGGTGTAGCAACTAACATCTTTATTCCAAATGTAGACCAGCAACTTGTTAATGCATTTTAATTTTTAGTTCAAAACTAGTCACATATTTTGAATGTACTATTTTCTTCAAACATGGAGAAAAACATTGTTTTAACAAACTCCACTTAATCACACAATGCAAAGTCCATCAGCTTATTCAGGGTTTAGTGCATTAAGAGGCAAAAGCAGAGCAATTTATACCCAGCATTCATGAGTTACATTTATAAAAGAGGTGTCCATGAAGAAAAATTATTAGTGTTTTAAAGAAATGAAATATGCTTAATGTCTTTCATTTATCTAAAATGGATCGCCCCTTTTATCAAACAATTAAAGTCAACCTGACCCCTTCTTTATACTCCTTCAAGAAACTTAAACTTTATTAGCTACATGCTTGATATGATTCTCAAATACTTGATTTTCTCACTGCATCTTCCACCTGCAAATGAACAGTGCATGATACTCCTCATCTAGATTAAACACATACCTTGTCTTAGTGGAAGCTTGGGAAACAAAAATTCTAGAATCCAAAAAAGGTCTATCACTCACACTACGCCTTTAAGAATAAAAGCAATTCAGCTACAGAAAGTCAATCTTTTCAATTATATGCCACTACTCCTTGGAGAAAATGCACTACTATTAAAACACATTCCTATCCACATGCCATAAGAAGCGCTCCAGGTTTTTGGCAACAAGCAGTTTCAAGCTCATGTACCTGTGATATGAGTTCCTCTGGAATGACTGATGCTGGAATCACCGGTTGTGGTTGACTCCCCAGCAGTCCAGATCCTCTATCACGTCCTGTGCGTATAACTCTAGTCTGCCTTCGAGAATCTCGAGCTCCAGCAGATGATCTACCAGAAGATCCTCCTCCACTTCCACCAACCCCTGAACTCCAGCGACTTCTAGAAGATTTAGATTATAATTTTTTTTAATATAGCAGCATACTTTGGGGACCATTACAAGAAGTCAGTCTTAGTTTTATTATTAATAACCTGTAGACAGTCTCTGAAAACTACTGCAGATTGAATTCATAGACAAACACTATGAAAGTATCTCTCAAAACTAGTAAGAACAAGAGCACCAGGCAATTGATAAAGTTCTGAATTACACAGAAGAAATATAAAACAGGAGTCCAACTGGAAGTTGTGTTTTCCTACTCATATAGTTGTGTGGATGTATACATACATAAATAACACGCACCAGTTCCCAGAGTTCTAAAAGCAACAGTATCAGCAGTGTAACATCTAACACTCAGCTGTTAACCTCCTACTATGAAAGCACATATGCAGCAGCTTCATGGTCAGTGGACTCCATTTGACAGAAGGTCACTATACTCAGTCTTCTAAAATTTCTGAGACTTGATTTAAATTAAGAAATTGCTTAAGATTACATTGGAAAAATCAAGTCATTTTCTTTACTGCAAAACAAATCTTACACTAGATAATTCCCTGATCCTCATGGATGGTTTTCAAGCGATACTCCACTCTGGACCTATTCCTATTGAAGAAATCAACATCAACTGTATACATTGCAAAACCACGCCTGAACTGACTGAACAGTTTTTTTCAATTCTATGAGTCAGTATCAAAACAAGGTAGTAAAAAGGCAGTGATTTGTAGAAATAGACAATTTGCCATCATTACAACTTTCCACTAATCTTAACACCACAGAACTGTGTCAACTGAATCTGTTCTGGACATAAGACTAGATACGCTGTTGTCATGAAAGGCTAAAAGACTCTAGTTTGTTCTTCAAGGTTAACTAAACTTTGTTGTACAGATCTACCTTAAAGGATATTGTATATGGCATTATTGCTATTTAATAACCAGTATCAACAGAACTTTGCTGCTCTCAGCCACCTTAATCCTCAATCTCCTTTCAAGGAAAAGAAAAACATTTAAAATAAGACAAGAAAAAAAGTATGTTCTCTGAAACAGTAGCCAATAAATTCACATTAAAAGTATACCACATGTAGCTATAAAAGCTCATTCAGTAAGAGTATTTGTCTTACATTTTATGGCTTAAGTTGATTATTAACATCCTTCTCTTTTTTTGTTGCGCGCTTTTTTTTTTTCTCCTGATGAGACCATGCAATCACAGAATAACTCAAGTATCTGCCTAAGGCGAGGCCCTGTCACGCAGACATCTACATTTTCAGGATTCTAGACAGCAACCACACAGACAATGACAAGACAAAAAGCAATTCAAGGATAGCTTTAGGAAAAGTCTTGTCTCATGAGTTAGAAACAGAGCTCTAAAAAAAAGATACTACTGAAAAGGGGAAAAAAAACCAAAACCGAACCCAAAACAAAGAAGAATGTGACATTTTAAATAAAACGAGACAGTTAATCTGTTTCTAAATGTGGGAAGGGGGCTGAAGGGAAAAGAAGAGGGCTGAGGGGAAGTCAAATTCTTCCTACACAACAATTCTCAATTCAACTCTCAGCAAGGAAGATGTGGGTTTAAAGAAAATGTTACATATTAGATTTTAATACTTACTACAGATGCATTTTCTACTTTAAGTTATAAGCTATCAATGACAGACTTAAGACATCTAACAGTTAAAACCATTTATAGTCACATAACAATTCAAATATTCCAAGTGTGTCCTAACTTAGTCCTGTTATGGGGGGGGGGGGGGAAAAAAAGACACAGCTAGTCTTATTAAAGCTGTCTAAACCTAGAATAAATATTAATATAGAACAGAAATCTTTCTGCTCATTTCTGCTTGCCTACTAGCTTTCCACATCTCTCCGCTGCCCACTAGTATGCTAACAATTTTCTAAACCCAGTGATCTAATCTAAGGGTTCCACAGTTTGAGTGTTTTTAGACTCAGTTTATTAAGTCAAGTATTCCCTTCATTTAATAGAGCAGTTATAGTGCGTACTGCTACTCTACTAGTTCGGTGACTTTCCGCTACCTAGTTCTGAAACATGCAAGGGAAGAAATTAGGAACTCTTCAAAGTTGGTCTTCTAAGCACATAGCCTCAAACAATTTTAACCCGTTATGCTCAGGTAAAAATAACAAGGAAAAAAAAGTCTTACACTTTCCACACTAAGTTTTTGAACATGACAATACCACTTTGCCTTTAAAGTTTAACACATGGATTTTACGTTCAGATGCACAAAGGTTTCGCACAAAGTTTGGGGGGGGGTGTTATCTTTCATGCAACTAAGCCCCAGATGAAATTAGCTTATTTGGTAACATAAACAACAAATCACTTTTGTGGAAAACCTGTAGTTCCTCCCTCTTAACAAATCATTCACATGCAGAAACCACAGTTTGTAAATGTAATTCTCCTTACTATGGTTAGTTACCTTAGGAAGCAGCACTGTTCAACATGTCTTACAAAAGCATATAATGAAGAGTTCACTGTGGTTATGTAATGAAGATTAATTTACATTGCTATATAAAGGGACACCATCAATTTTAAAGCTAATGATAAAAAAATGGAATCTGTATAGTACATTTAGGATATAATACAATTTTAAAGTTTCTGAGCAACAACCTTCTCCAAATGTTCCCTTCCTATTACTATGTATAAGACCCTTACTAAAAATACTGCTCATTACTTGGGGCAGGGGAGAGGAAGGCACAATAAAACTGAGCACGCAAAGGTCTGCAAACATAGATAATGAAGATTCTTCCTGCATAAATGCACTCATTTGACTTTACGCTGCTAGCCTATCAGGGTCTAAATTGATAGTGTCCCTCTAAAAAACTGCTTTTCAAAAATCAAGGAACTAAAAAACGTTCAAAAACAGACAACACAGCCAAAACCAAGTTATTCTTCACACATATATGAAGAACGCTCCAAGTCCTAGGTACTGAAGGGTCACTTGCATATCTGTTATTTTAACCAAGTCAATAAAGTTTTTATATTATACCCTACCTACGCAACTGCTGTAATTATACGGTCCCTTATACATACTGCATACAATTTATATATGTGTATACACATATACTCAAATATGGAACAAACAGATTGCAGCCTCAATCCTATCAAAACTTACCCAAGGGTGTTGCCTGCCAGTCTGCCCAGAGTTTCAGAACCAGACAGAAACCATGGGGAGTCACTAGTCCTGCCTGGCCTGGATGTCCTTCCTGCCCCTGAGCCACTGCTCAACTTTGAACTGAAAGTAAAAGATGGTAAATCAGTCACAAAACAATCCCAAATGGGTTAAGAACAAAACCTGGAATCCCAGGTCTAAATTCTCAGGGACTTAGTCTGGTAACATACCAGCTTAAGCAACACCCTTGGGGAATATTCCAAACTAATCTAACTGTATATTAAGAGGTACACTGGAAAAAGAAAGTGGAAAGCATGCCTAAGAGATCTTACGTACATCGGCAATCCATAATAGCACAGTTGTGAATATATATTAAGCTAATGAGTGAGTTAGCCACTGCGCTAAGTTTTCAGTTAGCGTATATGTACAATTTGTAATCGCCAGGTGTTCTATCCATAAACCTGAGCCTGAGTATGCTACTTTGATATTAAGAAGCAGTTTACATTCAAATATGAACCATTAAATAGTCCTATTAAGGGGGACTTACCTGGACTGAGGACAACAGGTCTAGAAAGTGCGACTCTCCAGATAGGACCACTTTCAGAGTGGATTCTACATGAGGCTTAACAATTTAACACAGTTTCTTTCATAAGGATTATTTTTGCAGGGGTTTGTTTCTTGAAGTTAAAGAGATCCTGTCTCACTTCTAAAAGAAGTCACATCTACTATTTATTCCTACACCAGTTTGTCAAGCTAGGCTGTTTGGCTGCATCACCATAACCATTATGTATCTACTCAAAGTACACATTCCAAAGGCAATCTAGTTTAAAAAGAAACAAAACAAAAACAAAACCAAAAAGCAGCCAAGCTGCTTCTCCAGTTCAAAAGAATGATTTAATATGAAGAAAAGTGTTTCTTACCCATCATTATTATCAGGTTTACCCAATTCCAATCTGTCTGGTTGAACTGAAAAACCAATCCTGCAGACTCTACCATCCTGTATTTAAAACAAGAAAACCAAGTGTCCAAAATTGAAATGTAAAACAAGTTACAGAAAAAAATATACAAACAAAATCAAGTCTTCAGTTACTGAAGAATGTTGATCAATTTGATGTTAGAAGAATTAATTTTAACTGTATGGTTTGAAGTTTGTTATCTGAGCAGATTTAAGTAATTTACCTCAAGAAGAAATGCAGCATGATTTGGTCCCACCACACACTGTTTAATAGTGGCCTGTTCCAATACATTCAAAGGGGGGTGGCTGAAAACAAAAAGTGGGCATGTATAACATTTTTAAACTTTTAAAGTCTGAAAAAAATAAAAACCAAGTGGTATATGGAAAGAACAATGTGCAGTGACATTACCGATACAAAAACATTCAAGAATGACTAAGCATGTGCAATAGTTGAAGCAACTTCAATGTATTTTTGGTCATTAAGTACAGAAAATGCAGAACAAAACCTTAAAAGATGACAGAGTTTTCTTTTCATTTGATCAGCAAGAAACAACAGGGGTTATACTTCAAATTAAGCAGTCATTTCATAAGGAGAGTATTTAAAAATACGATTTATCATAACTGACCACCTAACATTTTCTTCCTAATGTAAGAACTGTGTTATCTGAAGCATTTCTGAACTTTAGTAGTATTGAGGCTTTCTAAGGCTGTATCTACAGTACAATCATTTGCTTCTTGGTGCTGTTAGAAAAACTGTACTTTCCTAAATGATTTATAGCAGCATGTGACAGGCCTTACCTGTTTAAATTATATTTGTTCAGCTTCTCTGAAACTTCCCTTAATCTGAAACAAAAAGAAATTAAGCTGTTGTGTGAAAGACATCCTGCACGGTATACAACATCCACTTAAGCAGCATATTTACGACATTGTAGGAACAACTTACCACCACATGTAATGAATCTTGATATAAATACCACTTGGTGTTGAGAGTCTGTATGAGAACTGGATGGTGTTCAGCTTCAAATCAGGTTTTTGTTTTGGAGGTTTTTTGCTTTAGAATTTTACCCTTCCACCTACTATCTTGCCACAAAACCCATGTTTGCTTTTATTTCTATGCGTTTTGCAAGTCACTATCCAAAAGCACTACTCCTGCCTTGTAACCACCATTTACAACTTTACAGACAAAATAAGCAGATGAAGCAATGCGCATTAACTGCAGATATACTCGTGTTTCCTCATATAAGCTTGACTACAGTATCCCAGAGCAGACAGGATTATCATTTTCTAAGAAATCCAAGTATGTGGCATGTCAGAGCCAAAAATATGACAGTAAGTTCCCCAAACCAGAAAAGACAGGAAAAGAGATGCACAAAAGCCAGCGGCAAAAGGGACAAACAACAAACTTGGACTAGTAGAAGAAACAATCCCCAAGAAAGAAAGAGCCCCTGAATGGTTTCCAATTTTAGTTAGAATATTTGCATTATGTTAAGATATAAACCAGAGATGAATCCTATAAAAATAATGCAAGGTCTTCCTAATTAAATAAATAAATAAAATCCCAACTGTGGTACTGTGTTCATCCTAGCATTCCACAAATCTCCTTCTTAACCAGCAACACCTTTCTAAATCTAACAAAAAGGCATGCACACCAGCACTGCTTTCCTCTGCCTGAATCCACATCTTCAAACCCTTTCTTTTGACTTGCTTCAATTCAGTTTCTACACAGACTGCTATGGACAACAGACTTTAGCTACTTGCAAACCCTGAGCACAAGAAAGAATACAGATTAGAGGTCCAAACAGCCAAGTCTTAATGTTATCAACAGTGTTTAAAGTATTTGTCCTGAAGGAAAAAAGAAAAAAGAAAAAAAAAAGAAAAAAAAAAGAAAAAAGAAAAAAAAAAAGAAAAAAGAAAAAAAAAGAAAAAAGAAAAAAAAGAAAAAAAGAAAAAAAAAGAAAAAAGAAAAAAGAAAAAAGAAAAAAAGAAAAAAGAAAAAAAGAAAAAAGAAAAAAAAGAAAAAAGAAAAAAAAGAAAAAAGAAAAAAGAAAAAAGAAAAAAAGAAAAAAGAAAAAAAGAAAAAAAAGAAAAAAGAAAAAAAAAAGTCTGTTTGAGAAATGAGATAAGTTATACTGATAGAAATAACTTTCAAGCACAAGAAGAAAGGATCACGGTGAAAGGACAGCAGGAAGGAAGTGAACGTGCTTAGAATCGCCTTTTGCTATCCAAGCCAAGCCGCTGGTTTGTCAGTAGGCAATTTCACACTCCCAATTTCCAGCCACAACTACTTCACACAGCCCAAGAGTACATACATAGATAAGGTAAGATTCTGCAAAGACAACCCACAAACGGGAAAGAGAGAACACAAACTTCACATGCAATCTGTGTGAAAGGTTCCCCACAAGAGTGAACTACTGTGGGAGAATGTGGAAAGAACCCCAAATACGAACAGCACACACTCCACAGCTTACCGTTCAGTTTCATAAGGCAAGCAGGGATCTGCTGCATAATATATGACAAGTTAAACACCCCTGAAGTTTCATGTCTTGTGTGTCACCTAACAGTTTCCCCACAGGAATCCTGAGCAGTTTTCCATTAACATTTCTCCTCTTGGCAAGCATGAGTAATAATTATAGAATAGGAAAACCTACCTTTTAAGTTCATTGCACTGCCTGTATGAAAAGCTGACAGCAAATAAAGCAGTGGTTTATTGGAGATGGTTACTAGACTAGTCTACGAGCAACATTTAAAGCTTCCTTATCTGAGCTTTGTGTCACAAAACCTGTGCACTACCAAAGAAATAGACATTTTTCAATTTGTAAAAATCATCATAATCCTTTTTTACTAGTAAAAAAAAAATGAAGTGATAGGGAAGAAATATGCACAGAAAGCTAAGACTTACATACTCAGTGAATCTATCAGTAACACCAATATCAAGAGAGTAGGTCTATCTGCAACAAGCATAGGTCAAAAGAGATCTGATGTTACTGAAAAGAGGCTGCTGTCAGTAGTGAAGGGGACAGAGCAGAGAAGGATATAAGCAATGATGCTGAAAGTACTAAACTCTCCTACAGAAAGAAAGAGGAAAAAAAAAGGAAAAGAAAGAAAGAAAGGGGAAAAAAAAAAACCCCAAACTATCTCAACCCCCCGACTATCTCATATGCAACTGCTGTAATAGCAAAATCACCAAGTACTGCCTAATAAACTTAGAGATGCATGAGCACTTGAATTTGACGCAGAACACCACCCAGTGAAAACGGAGCATCTCCCCAGCGCTGCGTCCCTGCTGGGTGGCGGGTCTCACCCCCACTCCTCCCTCCTCCTTGTGCTGCCACCAGCACTCGCCTCAACGCCAGTCACAAAACTAAACCAGCAGAAAAACAAGAGTAACGTGGAAAGATATGTTTGTATATTCCATATGGAGGATGTGTTTGTGCAAATAAAAACTCCAAATAATTTCACAAAAACATTTCCTGTAGCAATCTAAGCCTTTCTACTTGCACAGTTGCATGGTATTGCACTATTGACCCTCTGAAGGAAAAATATGCAATGCTTATTTGAGATCAGGTTAATTTGAACAATACAATTCAATAATTTCAACTGATGGTGCACTGCAGGAAGAGGTACAGGCAGAGATGATTTAATCAATTCTCCCATTAAGGAAGGTCAACACCTCCACCAAGACCTTTCTGTGGTAAAATGAATCTCCAATATGAATGCCTGGACAGTCTAATGAGAATTTTTCAAAGCTTAAAGGCAATCAAAGTATTTCAAAGGACAAAGTTAGAAGCAACATGTATTTTGCTCACAAACAGATTTCTGGGGAAATGCACTATCTTGCCACACTTTCAGACAAAAAGTTTACTGATGATGGCTCCTGTGTTAAGGCACACAATCTTTAAATATCCCTATCAAAATGCATCCAAAAACAGTTATGAGGAAAACAAAAAGTCAGTTTGTCCAAGCCAAGTAGGGATTGCTTCGATTTTAAGTTTTGCAGCTATGATTTCTAGCCTCTCCAAACTGATCAGAATAGAAAGGAACTATGCTCACACTAAGCAGCCAAAGAGGCTCCAGGTCAGGACTACAGGAGCTCAGACTTCACAAGTCACACTTTTATTCATCACAAGATATTACTTTTCTCAAAGTACATTTCTATTTCCAGAAGTTTATCTGAGGGCCTATCTTTCCACCACATCTTGCTTTAAAAAACCAAGTTAGGCTCAAAAAATGCAACAGAGCTACAGAGAAACTCCATTTCAAAATAGCAAGTATTTTATAGAAAAACTAGACCTCAGTACATTTTAAAGTAACTTTACCCTATTTAAACAAATGCTTAAATCCACATAAGCAAAATTCGGTTTTACAATTTGTGTTTTTACCCAATTTGTAAGAATAAAAATCTTGTTTTAAAGTAGGCAGGCTGTCCCAAGAATTTTTTTTTTTTAAAGACACTATAGACTTCTATAATACATGCTCACCATTCTCAGTTCCCTGCAGCAGTCTGCCAGCAGCAGTCCTACCTTGCCAGTCATCCTGCAGCAATATTCATCCTTCCCAAATATTTCCACCATGCCAGCAACAGTTCACAGATCAACAAATAAACCATAAGACATAAGCAGAACCTTCTTACTGCTATAAGGTTTTAGAATACTTCAATGAACCCATGTTCACCCCTCTCCCCATGTGTTAGGAAACTAACAGTTACAAAAATAAAAAAAAAGAAAAAAACCCTCACACCTACACCATCTACACTCAGTAAACATCTGCAAGACCATCTCAAGCAGGCAAGTAACATGAAAAGCACAGTGCACTGTAAATAGGAATCTCATGTAGCAAGATTTATATAATTTTCCCCTCAAAAACTTACTTGCTGTTGAACAGAAACAGTATTTACAGGTCCTAATATCTAACCTGACATTTTGCAGCTTTGGTCAAATAACAGTACATCTAGCACGCTTATAAGTATTAAAACAATTTCTGCCATCTCAGAGATAAATTTCTGTAATGATATAAAGCAAGCTATTTTTCATTTTTCTTTGCAACTTTAGACTAAATTTTTAAATGTCAGCTAGGTCTTTAAAGAACACACAGTAAAAATCACTGAAGTTAAGCAATCCAAACAAAGGATTTAACCACAGAGATGTAAAATAAAATGTTTGCATGCTGCATATCTCTAGAAGAAAGGAAGTCTTTCTGCACTCAGCAAGTAACACTGCAGAGTCCCAGACACAATATTCAGAAGATTCTCTTGGATTTTTCCAGAACGTGTTCCTTTATAGCCTTACAAAGTTATTTGTACACTTTAAAGTTAAAATACCAGGCAGGGGCCCCACCACAAGAGCTTTCCTCACTTCACACCACATGGTGATGGCAAGAGTTGCAGAGGAGGAAAAGAAAAGGTACATTTTCAAAAAAAAACCAGCTTGGTATGATGAATAACTTTCCATAGGGAAATTAAAAATAAAGCTAATTTAGCCCTGGTAGATTTTTCTAAGTGATCAGGCCTCTACGACAACTGAATATGCCAATGAAGTCTGTAAGCCAACAAAGTTATGAGACTTTCACACCAGAGCAGAAAGACGTATACAAGAACTGCTAACAATGCTTTTCCAAGGGAAGGCTAACAATAAGCAGATATCCAAAAGGGGAAGGAAAAAAAAAAACCAAAAAGGCAACTCAAGCACTGGAAAACAGTACTGAGTAACACACCTATCAATACTTAAAAAGTAAATACAACCTTCATCTCCATCCCTCAGTTGAGACCCTGAAGTGCTCTGAGCACAGCGAGCCACGCAAGGAGGCAGCTATGTGGCCAATTAACAGGTTTTAGCCCAGCAGAGCTGCACAGCCTCCACACCAAAGCCCTCTCACACTTGCCTATCTTGAATCGCATGGAAATGAACTCCTGTGTCTGTCTATCGGTGTCATGAAAACAGTGTCTCAGAAATGCAGAAAATGCACACCAATGAGAAGCCTAAGCAAATACATTATCTTTGTTTCCTGATCCCAGGATGTCCTGGACACTGGACGCTGTCGTTGATGTAAAGTCACATCCAGCTATCTTCCATGCCATAATACAGCATACAAAAGAATCCCATGCCTGACTGCTATGTCAAACATTAGAAAGCAGTTTCCAAAGAGGCAGCCTTCCACAGTTCCTGTACCAAACACCTTTCTCCTAATGGAATAAATGAAGAAATAAAGGTGAAAAACCTCTTTTCCACCCATGAGTAGGAGCAAAGGGCCAGGGGGGGAGAAGAAGATTAAAGTGTGCTTTAAGTATCAAGTCATTCTGGGTAGTAAGGGGGGAACATCCATAGAAAAATGCTTAAAGTATCAACAAAAGCAGGCAATGAGATCATCTGTAGAAAATATAAAGTAATGCACATAAGGGAAAAAAATCCCAAGCACAAGTACAGAATGACAGCCTCCAAGGTAACCAATACTACTGAGCAGTGGGGTGGGATGATGCATTTAGACTACAATACACAGATCACTGAAACAAACAAGATGACAAAGAAAGCCATTGCTCCACTCATCAGGTACCATGGCTTACACTGTGCCCTCTCCCCATGCCAAGAAATACAAATTAGAACTATTTGGTTATTAAATTCTAAACCAACACCTACTGCTTGGGAAATCCCTGAGCTGCGGTATGTTCGCCCTATACTAACACTCTTCTCCTGTCATCTAGCACTGGCCACTGCCACAAATAGGAGAAAACAAGATGTACCTCTTCTCCAACTGTAACAGCTATTCTTACGTTTCATGGTACCAACCAACATGGGTTTACAGAATATGGCTCCCAAACTTTCTTTTCTACTTCGTAAGACTGTCAGTTTGGCTGATAAAGGTAGTTCTGACCATTTAATAGTCCTCTCTGGTAACAGACTGTGCTGAATCAGTAAGCTACAGTAGAAAGCTAATATGGCAAACATCAAACAAATTAATCTCTTGAAAACAGTTTTCTGCAGTATCACTGAAAAAACATCACTTCAGGTAATGATTGCAGAAAGTAAATTCCCTTACAGCAGACCATTATTATTTCATGATATAACAACACTGATATAGATAATGACCTGTATCTAAAGTTAGGTATAAGCTAGCCCACAACAAGGTTAAAGCAGGACAAGAAAAATTAGCAAAGATAGGATAGTGGCAACAATATCAGAAGGTTAAAGATAGATACCCACCAATATCTATATTCAGAATTAAACACATACTGCAGCGGCAGGTAAAATGACTTACCCATCTTCTTCACCCTAGAGAGATGGTAAGCACATATTTTAGTTCTAGTTTTAAGAAAGCAAGGCAGATTTCATATCACTGTATAGGATAACGAGGGGAAAGCAGTGGATATTGTCTACCTAGATTTTAGTAAGGCCTTTGACACTGTTTCCCATAAGGTCCTCACAAAGAAGCTGCTGATGTACAGGCTGGATGAGCAGGCCATGAAGTGACCTGAAAGCTGGCTGAACGGCTGGGCCCAGAGGGTGGTGATCAGTGGCATGAAGTCTAGCTGGAGGCCAGTGACTAGCAGTGTACCCCAGGGGTCAATACCAGGTCCAGTCCTGTTCAACATCTTCATTAATGACCTGGACGAGGGGGCAGGGGATACCCTCAGCAAGCTTGCTGATGACACCAAACTGGAAGGAGTGACAGACATGCCAGAGGGTCGTGCTGCCATCCAGAGCACAGCAACCACATGACATTCAACAAGGGGAAGTGCAAAGTCCTGTACCTGCGGAGGAACAACCCCATGCACCAGTACATGCTGGGGACTGTCCAGTTGGAAAGCAGCTCTGCAGGAAAGGACCTGGGAGTGCTGGTGGACACCAGGTTGAACACGAGCCAGCATGCCTTGTGGCAAAGCAGGCAAATGGTATCCTGGACTGCATTAGACAAAGTATTGTCAGCAGGCTGAGGGAGGTGATCCTTCCCTTTATTCAGCACTGGTGAGGCCACACCTGGAGTTCTGTGTCCAGTTCTGGGCTCCCCAATGCACGAGAGACATGGGCATACTGGAGAGAGTCCAGCAAAGGGCCAGAAAGATGATTAAGGAACTGAAGCATCTCTCAAATGAGGAAAGGCTGAGAGAGCTGGGACTGTTCAGCCTGGGGAAGAGAAGGCTCTGGGGGGATCTTATCAACTTATATAAACCCCTAAAGGGAGGACAGAGCCAGGCTCTTTCCGGTGATGCCCAGTGACAGGACCAGAGGCAACGGGCACACACTGAAACGCAGGAGGTTCCCTCTGAACATCAAGAAACTCTTCTTTACTGTGAGGGTGACCAAGCACCAGCAGAGATTGCCCAGGGAGACTGTGGAGTCTCCATCCTTGGGAGTTATTCAAAAGCCATCTGAATACAGTCCTGGGCAATCAGCTCTAGATGACCCTGCTTGAGCACAGGAGCTGGACCACATGACATTGAGAGGTGCCTTCCAACCTCAGCCATCTTGTGATTCAGAGGGCTTTTTGCTTTCACGATGTGATCTGCACACATTTGACTTGGAGGCATGGCAACAAAAGGACGTTTTTTGCCATTGAAAAACTAGGAGCTCATGTTTTGCTATAGAATCCCCGTAAGGGCAGCAGCTTAGAAAAAAAGTTACACCAAGGAGTCAGGGAACTCTCTGAGAAGTAATATTTAGACACTGAGTAAAAATATTCAAGGGTACTAAAATATCCAGATGGAAGTACTCTGTTTCTCTAGCAGGAACAGAACCCCTCCAGCAAGACCAGGGGACAGCCACCTGTAGGGCTTGTGAAATGCAGCATTAGGTTTGCCAGAACTAGATGCCTCTGATTAACAATGAATTTCTAGGCTGGCTGACTGGTTCCTCTAGTTCAAAATCTACTTACACCCTTTGTTCAGATTTATTATTCAAGTGACACTGAAAACATCACCTTCTGAATAATAATTAAAAAAAAAACTAACCCCCACAGTGTAAAGCATAGCCATAACCTAGCTCAAGAGGAATATTAAGTCAATCACACTTCTTAAATAACCAAACACCCAATCTAAAATAGCTATGACATAGCATGGCCCCTTTTCTGAAAAAAAGTTGTAACAAAATGTCTGAATATAAACAGAAAGAAATCACAAATGGTATGAGCCTGAAAGGACTAGCACATAGCAGTTACAGCACACCAACATATGTTATTTAGCACAATATCCAGAGGATTTGGTAGTAAAGTAGATCTACAGCTACAGGTTGCCTAAATGTCTAGTGGTGTTGCTGTGGAAAAAAATAAAAATACACTACAGGAGAATGAGTCAGCCTCAATCTGATGTTATTCTATGACAACAGACTTCCAAAAATATGGGTCACAGATTCAGGCAATACAAGACAGAAATCTGTTCTCTGGTGTAGCATGCATCAAATCATCATTCTGTGTTCCCAGAGTCTGTTCAACTGCACAAGTCCTCGTAGCTGCAAAGAATTTCTGTTTAACATTTAGCAGAAGGATATTCCTTCAGCCAGAAGACCACTAAAAGCTAAACAATTGGATCAACCAACTCAGTTGGGTGTGAGTTCTGAATCTTAAAAACAATGAAAGCTGTAAGCTATTTAGCTATCCATCATTTCAGTAAGTATATCCTTCTGTGATAGCAAAATGTGGATAATGGGAATTTAGAACCCCATGGTTGGCTTCAAGGATACTTGAAAAAATCTCACATGAAATAATGTGAGCCAGTATTACTATGTTGAGCAACGTATCAGTGCTAGCTACCAAAATGTGAGCCAGTATTACTATGTTGAGCAACGTATCAGTGCTAGCTACCAAAATGTAGCTAGGAAGCTGTACATTTGTTTGACTAGAACGAGCGAAACTTAAAAGACCACATTTAGACAAAGGGAAAAAAAACCCTCTTTTTTACTGTCAGTGTTGCTGTAGTGATTCCACTAAAAAAAAACTGCTATCAAAATAAAAATCCAGTCATTGTAAAATCTTAAAACTTTTCTGTGTCCCATAGTGATGGATTGTTAAAGCTCTTTCAAGAGTTAATTACAACCCAGCAGGGAGGCTGTGTATTTACCAGTACACCAGCTTAAAGCCAGGAAAGCCAGGTTCTGGTCCCAGCTGAGGCTACTATGGGAACCCAAATCATCATCTCTCCACCATTTTCCCTTTCGTTCTTGCTCTAAGCTTTTGGAAGCCATGACCACTATGTCCAAAGTTGGAAAATGGGCTTTGATTAGAGCATTAAAATGCTACAAAAATATTCTAAAAAGAAAGAACTGTCACATTATTAAATACTTTGTGTCTTGGCTGGAGAAAAGCAACAGTATATTTCGTACAATTGATTTTATTAAAAACAAAGCACAAACAAGACACTGAATTCTAATTGCCTTGCAATAAAGTCCAGCCTGCTTATTCACATGCTGAGTTAGTTTTAGCAATA